TTCTAAAGGACAGCTTAAAACATTTCATATTAATTTCATCTGTAGTTGTTGTCTTATCATGCTTGTACCCATTATCAGTTAGACTTTTAAAAGTAAATCTATTGGTTAGTATTCTATGCAGCTTTGATTTCTCCTTAAAAGTTTCAAAGGGTAAAAGCTAATTCCTAAAAAAGAAGTCAGCCGGAAAAAGTCATATAAGACATGGGTTACTATAAAGCACTGTTATTTCTGACTATAACAGATAAGTACCATCCCTTCTTTAGGTAGCATAAGATGCTGCTGCTACTAACAATCAAATACCAGATCTCTGACTAACCTCCATGTAGCAGTACTCCAGCTGGTCTTAATAGTAGAATCTAGATCCTCTCTGCATAGAACAGCAGAAAGAAATTGCCAATGTAAAAAGCAAGGTGACTGCATTATAAAACAATGTTAACAACCTTTAATACTTATAACTATATTGTAACTTGACTTAATGATGACATTACCACCCCTATCTAGAATCTAATGTTCAAAGCCTTAAACACAGGCGTCAGGGGCTTAGAACCCAGCAAAACATATTATAATTCATATAATAATTAAAATGTGTACTTGTAATAAAATATAAACTAAAATTATAAATTGTTAATGACTAGCAAAATAGAGTAGTTATTTGGAAAGAGTCACTTTGTCACAAGCAACACCAAATCAGAGGATGCCAGTTGGCCAGTAAAGGCAAGCAAGAAGCACTGTGATAAAGTATTGTAAAGATGATAGAATTTGAAGACTGGCATACAAGATAAAATCTTTCACATGATGAAGGTATCTGAATGTTTTTTAAACAGTTGATCTGCGGCACTTAACACCATGCCTTTACTTACTATCTTCCTCATATTCAACTCCACGCTGTCAATCAACATCAGCATCAACATCTGATGATCCAATCATCATCTTATTGTCTATCTTATCTTCTCCTTGTCTTATTTTATCAATCAGGGCCAAAATAAAAAGTTTAAAAGGCGAAAAAAAAGGATTCTTAAACCCAGGGTTTGACATACTTAGAGGGGAAGGGGTTTACCCAAATTCCAGACCAAGACTATACTTACACTTTTGTGCCAGTTACACAATGAGTTTTTGAGTAATACAAGTTGTCAACTTTGATTGTGCGCAACTGTATACATAATATGACCTTACACCAAGTTGATGTAAAAACCACTTTCCTCAATGGACCACTTGCACCTGTTAATCCCCCATATGTCTTCTAATTAAAAGTAAGGCTATAGTAGGGTCCCACTTATGATTAGAAGAGATGACTAAAGATATCTATGCTGTGATAATTCTCTAATATCTTGCTGCAGCATAGGCCCAAGATTCTCCCTACCCTATTAAGTCCTTATCTATGCTGCTACAGCCACTTCTGCTGGTATTTGGGTCTAAGTCCACATGTAATAAAATGGCATATTTGTCATGTTTGTCATGTAGACAGATGTCCATTAGGAAGGTTCTTAAAAGTATTATTGATAGATTATACCATTTGATCACTATTATATAATATAATCACCATAATTACTATTTCCTCATATAAAAGGGCATAAGTATCTGGTACTCCAAATGTATAACTTATATATCCAGAGACTTCAAACTAAGGCTCTGACATGTCTATCCCCCATTCCAAGTGAACATAATACCTTTACTGATATGGGCAATATACTGTAACATCAATAAACAACAAGTTTGAAATAAAATCATGGGTCATTTTAAAACAACTTTGGAATTTTCTTAAACAAGTAATTAGGACTTATAGGCAACTTAGTATTTAGACAAGGCACCTTCCATCTGGAACAACTTGGGCTAAGGACAACTTTGCAGAAACAAGGTATAACTCTGATTCTGAAGCAAGACAACTCAAATGATTGGAGTGCAACTTTAGAAATGAAAGATACAATTTTATTGGGGTAAGGTATAACTTAGTCCTTGTACAACTATGCCCATTTGACAGGTAGAATAAATGCTGACTAATAATGCTACTTGTGATGTCATATGGTGTCTATCCTGACACAACTTTAAATTAATTTTAGTCTAAAAAACAGGAAAGAAATATATGTAATTTGGGTATGTTTTTCTCATCAAGTTAAACCTCTATTTTCTAACAGTATAATCACTTCCAGACTTGTACTAGTAATTTGCCAGTAAGGGACTTAAACCATAGCACTTGCACAGTAAGGTCATGGCACTTGCCAGTGTACAGTGGGGACACAACACATGCACATCTTTGCAATGCATTTCATTTGATGCATTTGGTAAGATATAGGCTGTTGTATTAGCCACTTCATTCTAACAGAACCTATAAAGCCTTATGTAGAGCAATCCCTCTCTCCCAGTGTATATTATTTAAAATCAGTTTTACCTTACAACTATTCAGTAAGCAATTACTAATTTGTCTTTAGGTACACCGTGGCTGGGAGAAATAAGCTGTTATCCTAAAACTTGAAATAGTTGTCTTAGGCCAAGGGAAAGCTGTACCCACCTTCCAGAAAACTTGCCCTTATCTTAAATCAACATGCCTGAAACTAAAGTTGTCATTTCTAAGTTGTCTAATACTTTTGCCAAGTTGTCCTCAACCTAAGTTGTTACATATGAAAGTTGTCCTGATCTGGTGTAAAGTTTTCTTGATATAAGTGCCACTTGTGTATCAAAAATAGTTGTCAATAATTAAAGTTATCTCAAAATTACTCATGTCATTTTCCAGAAGATGTTGTTTATTAATGTTACAGTGTATTGCCCATATACTGATATCTTGGGACCCCATGCATGGAATATAATGATCCTGCACTTAGTCACTACCAATTTGTATATTATATAAGTATTATATAAGCATAGCAGAACCAGAGGATGGACATGAGATGTGGTTGAAATTTTTGCGTATTTATAACAATTTTGAAAATAGATTAACAGTCAACTGGTGCTTTCTTTGAGCTAATCTCATATGGAAACAGCTATCTGGCTTCAATCATCCAGAGAGCTATAAGGGTCTCAAAATTATTAGAAATCTTATGATTATATGATAAACAGTAGAAAGAGTCTAGCAAAATTATGTATAAGTCCTTCAGTTCTGAGAGTTTTGATGAATCCTCAAAAGGAAATGCTTAGTTCGCTAAAGGCTTCAAGAAATTGAGGTATTTCCCAGAGACTACTATTGCTTGTTCAGTGAATATAAGTGATATTTTTTTGGTCCCTGTTTTGATGTAAAAACTGGTTTAAAAAGGGTGGTTGATCTGCCCCAAAATTGGATGACAAAAACTGAGTCTGTTTACTTCTCATAGGGATGCCGCCCATGCCTGTAGCCACAGGTCGACGGTAATGGCTTACGGGTGGCCGTTGCTGTGCCGTCAGGGATTCGTGTTGCTCTGGCTACAGGACCGGCACGGTTTGGGTTGGAACCGTAACAGCCATAAGATGACGGCCATCATGGCTGTCGGTACAGGTTGACGGGTAGGTGGCCTGCCACTAGTCATTTGACGCGAGAACAGTGTGTCAACAGGCAATCACTGATGTACAGATGACGAGTTCCCATCTGGACCGGGTTTGCGATTGAGTCCGATGGCCGCGGAACAGTCAGGTAACCCCGTGTCGGCGCGTGACACACCCTCCGGGGCTCTTCAGCCACACAAAAGTAGCCGACAGACATGTATATCTGAGCCATGGGAGGTGAAGAACATAACGCGAAGGCCATTAAGGCCTCGGTGATGCAGTTGGGCGGTAGAATGTCAGCTTAATGAGATGTCAGTGCTACATAAACCCGTCCCGTAACCGTAACGGCCGGCCCGTAGCCGTTCCCGTACCGTTAGCTTTTCCATGGATCAGATCAACGACCGTAGCCGTAGCCTCCCGTCAAAATCGATGGCCATTACCATTACGGTAATGGGTGGCATCCCTAACTTCTCATATAAGCAGGTGAATTTGGGCCAAATTTTTTTAGGTGCAAATAGAGGTATACATTTTCTTCTTTTTTTTCAGGACATTGATTTTCATATAATTGAACATGAATCTTGTAAGCTGATGCTCCGCTTACTGATGGGGAGCTTGCGGACTTGGCTTTCGGGTTTTCTCGGCGATGCCTCGAAAACCTCCTACATTCGATGTCGTGTGGGAGATTTTATTTGGTTTTTTGGTAGTTGCTGAATTGGGGAGTGAGCTCCCCAATCAAAACGGGCACTATTTCTTCCCAGCAAGGGGGGTTCAAGATCCTTATCAGGCACATAGGGTAGGGGGAGGGGGGGCGGTCCCAGGGGGGTAAAAAAAAAACTTTTTGTATATGAAAGATTTGGGCCTTATATAGGTGTAAAGACACTGAAAATATAGTGTATACACTCCAATTTCTATAGTTCACAACTCTCATACTTATATCTATATACTTTCAGGCCCATGAGCTTGGATAGCCCACTCTGTCATAGGTCCATAGACAGGTAATTGATGAGAAGAGTTGATATGGCCTGCCATGTGTGTTTGAAGGTTCCAGGTACATACATACATACATACATACATACATACATACATACATACATATATATACATACACATATACACATACACATATATATATATATAATTTTACAAAAAAAAAGTTTCACAAAGATAAATTTTTTATCCCACTTTTTGATCACATCAGTGGTCACATGACGCGAATCGTGGGAACATATTACCCGATATGGCAGGAGGGGGAGGGGGGGGGGTCCCCCAGGGGTCGAAAAAAAACTTTCCGACCCTATATCCATGATTCAAGACTTGAACCCCCCTTGATTCGCAGTAATACTTTGGTAATACTTAGGTGGTTGAAAATAAGGCATTCTAAGAAAAGCTGTTGATTGTTACATCTAGCTGAGCTGGATACCAGAGCTTAATGTTCAATGATACTACTAGCACACGCATACTTGTACGCGGTATATAAATGTGATTTTTTTTAAAAAAAAAAAAGATCAAGTCACACTCTGAGTCAGGTCACATGAGTCATTGATCGGCAGCCACTCTTGCTTCTGCCCTTGATGGAGCTCAGCGACGCGTCGCTGGGGCCACGCCTGCCGCCTGAGCTGGAACGTGAGATCTTCGAGGCCGCAGCTGAGATGGATCCGTTATCGATCCCGCAGCTCCTGCTCGTCGCGAAACGCGTACACCTGTGGTAAGGGTTCCTTTCAACCGCAGTGCTAGCACCAACCCGCGTTGTAGGATTGAGCCGCTTGCATACCACACTGTGACCGTGGACGATTCCATGCGCTTCCTTTCGTTTCTCGACAACGCCAAGAACGGGTGGAAGCCGCCCGCGTTCTTCGCCCAGCATGTGCGGTATCTCAGGCTCTTCATCCACGAGGAGGATATCCCGGACGAGGCTATCCTCTGCGCGCTCGCGCTTTGCACCGGCATTACGCGCATCGGCGGCGCCGGCCCGGTCGTCGGCCCCGACCTCCTGCCGTTCCTAGCCAGTCTGCGCCTCGAGCGCATTGCGCTGTCTCTCACGCACGTGTTCCCGGACCTGGAGGGGGTCGACCTCGGGCTGCCGTGCTTCCAGACACTGACACACTATGACGTGTTCGACGACCTCTCCGAGCACCAGCAGGCGCTCCGCTTTGTTGGCCAGCTCGCCTTACTGCCCTGCCTGACACACGTGTCCCTCAATAACGATGTCCCGTGGCCGGCCGTCGAGGAGCTCCTGCGGACGTGTACCAATCTCCGCGTGCTGGTGCTGCAGTGGGACTCCGGGCCCGCCGAGGAGGGTATTAAGCGCGCGGCGGAGACGCCGTTCCGCAACCCGCGGTTCGTGATGACGACTTTCGAAGACATGGAGGAGACCACGTGGGCCGCGCCGAATCTGTGGACGATCGCAGAGCAGTTCATCGAGGATAAGCGGCAGGGCCGTATCGACGGTGAGTGATCACTGAGTCGCGCCTTTAAACATGAACACTGAATGTCATACAGAGGGTTGTTTTTGGATGCCACGCGCGAACTAGCCAGGGAACGGCGACGACGCTCCTGAATCCAATGCGGAAACAGAGGGGAACTCGATACCAGTGCTGTGGATGTCGGCTGCAACGTGCAGATGTTTGAGTAGATTTATGCGTCCGTTTGGATAGATTCAACTTGTAACCGCAGATTTTTTCCTTGGATTGGGTGGCGTGATTCGGCCTGGAAGACACACCGGCCGGCGCTATAGCCTGGGAGGACGTCTGTGACCCGCGTGTCGACGGGGCCCGGAGCACGTGTATGCCACTGTATGGTCGTCGTCGAATATATGTGTGGGGTATTTGCAAATTGCCATGCACCGCTCCATGATCGCCTCGAGATGTGTGCCCAGGCGGCGTACAGCAGTCGGTCATCTTGAAAAGTCGGCTGCGTGTGGGTCCTTGATGGAGCGCAAAAAAAGACCATGCCGAATTGATGAAAATGACGAGAGTGGGATTCGAACCCACGCCCCGAAAGACCAGATTGCCGAACCAACTCGACAAGGGAAGTTGCATACGCAACGGGCCTTAGTCTGGCGCCTTAGACCGCTCGGCCATCTCGCCGTTGGTTCGCAGCATTCTGATGGCCTGACGGCGGGGTGTGCCGAAGGAATCCCAGTTTGCTCCCTAGAAAAAATTGTGAAAGTCAACCACCCCTGACTGAGTTCACTGGAGTTGACAAGATTTAGTTGAGTTCCTGAACTTCGCAGCTGGAACATAGTTACAAAAGTTGTTCAGCTCTTTTATAGAGAGTGGATTAACCATAAACCTAGCTGTCTTGTAGAACAAATGGCAAAGTGTGGGGTGCGATGTGAGGAATGGGATTAACCTTGATGCAATAGATCTGTGCACAGTTCAGGAAAGCTGCCAGTGCAAGTTGGGGGACATATGCAATATTCTACCATACCCATACTGTAGTATTTTACTCAGTTCGAATGTCACGCGTCACACTGCCGATTTTATACAAATTTTTTTTGCATGTCACGCAGATTTAAGCAAAAAGACGTCCCAAAAGGGTAATTTTTGACATTTCCGGGCGCCTCCGGCGCCAACAGTTGCCTAATTAGGCAATAATTCGAATTGAAATTTTCGTATTGAATGTCACGCTAAAAATGGCATTCGAATTGAGTTAAATAGTACAGTATATGTATGGCTAACAAGAGCCGGGCTGGAAAACTTACAGCATAGGACAAAATTAAGCCCTTGGCTGAAAAAAGAGGGGCAAGGATGCCTGCCTTATGGTCGGATCAGGAGGCAGGTATAATGACATGTATGAATTGTGTGCCTTGTCTTGGCTTCAATGGTATAGACTCTGACTTGTAGCCCATCCATTCTGGCCAACTGTTAAAAAGGTTATACCAATCAACATATTATTGTAACATTACATTAATTCAATTCAGTATAATGATCTGTATGGGCATAGAATTTTTTTTTTGGTGCAAGGACTCCCTTCGCTGTCGTAAGCAGATGAGCAATAAATACATCAGTCAGGGCTAACCACGTACCGTCTTCCACCCACTTCTTCTTTGGATTCAAACACTCTAAGCTGCCTTCCTCCATGCCAGATAGGTCGACAGGGTTGTCCTTCTTCTAGTTGTCGACACACCCATTGCAGTAGGTGCAATATTGGACCGAATTGGCCTTGAGCCCGGGAAGGAAATGCTCGGAAATTGTCATCTTCAAGCCGAAGTTATGAGAGGGATGGGAAAGAAAAAAGTGGCAGGTGTCATCAGTGAGTCATCGGACCCGGCACCAATGCCGATGCCGATGCCGACGCCAAAGTAGATAAGATTAGATACATAGATATGCCGTATATAGGCCCTACAGGGGAAACATAGCTTAGCTGAGGGCCTTGATTTAGGCCCTTTAGGGCCTTTTAGGGCCCTAAAAGCCTAAGTGCAACACTGGTAAGGAGCTACCCAAAAGGTCATGCAAGAAAATTTATGCCATGATAGCTATTTGACATTTCAGCACAAAAGGGTAAAAGGTTTGTTCATATAAAAGATTTGAGCTTGATTGACCAGGGTTGGGACACTAAAAATACAGTCTATATCCTCCAATTTCTATAGCTCTCAGTACCCCACTAATTAATTACTTATTTATCTTAATTTTCAGGCCCATGAGCTTGGAAAGCCCAAGGTGTGATCAAACATTGACATTGTGTCACAAGACCATTATTAGGCAGTTAAGCCTCGCATGTGTGTTCCAAGGCTCCAAGTACTGTACTATTTAATTTAATTTGTCAGCAGCAAAGCCACGGTATGACTGAATATTTTTCATCACATAGAGACTGCGGCCCTGCAGGGCCGCTTACCCTATATGGCAGGAGGGTCTCCTATATTTATGATTCAAAGGTTAAACCCCCCCCCTCTTGTTTCAGCACCTTCACCACCAGCTGTTGACATACTGAAATATTCCGGCATCAGAGGGCTTGTGTGATGTAGTGCTACCTAAATACAAATACAATTATCATGAACAAGACCTGGCCCGTTGTCTTAGGTGCTGGTGCCGGGCCATCAATGGTCTGGGACACACAGCATGTGACAACACCTCAGAAGGGATAGAACAAGCACATGCATGACCAAGAACTACTCAACCTCACCTGCTTCACTGTACCCAACCTGGGGCTTCTATGCATCAATTCCTCTGATGAGAGAAGAGGATTGATGAATCAAGCCCTCTAGCCCGGACCTGCCCATGATGCCCCATGGCTCTGGCTCCCTTGCGTAATGACACTACATCAACAATGTGATCTCAGCATCACATCTTTGCTGCTGCTGTCCATCACAGTGATTAACACCGGTTGCCATCGCTGTCGACAATGAGCACAGGATGTTGGTAAATAATTCAAGAAAATTCAGTAGAAATTACCCACGGTAGGTACATAGTCACTAATAAGCAAGAAGTGTTTTATGTCCATTATAGCTGGGTGCTAATCCCTAAATTTGCATTGCTCCGGCATTGGCCTGTTTGGGCCCAACACTGCACAATGTTTACAATCAGGCCCCTCCACGACAGTGGTGCAGAGGACGGCACTGGTTATGTGTGCCTTCTAGCAGTCCCATTTCGAGTCGATGTAATGAGTAATTATGGATTTGTACACACTTCAGGGAAAGCTATTATTAACCTTATTCAGTGTCATATATAATAACATGGAATCATTCACATATACTGGAAGGGATATATCACAAAACAAAATAAGCCCCCTGCTGGAAAAAACAAAGCTCATAAAATATACCCCCTAGTGATCTGCTCTGGTTTGATCAGGAGGCAGACCAATTTAAAGTATATAATAGCACATGTAAATTCTGTGCCTTGGGTTGGCTGGAAAGCAGTAATACTTCCACTCTGACTTACTGCCAACATAAGTCTTGCTGAAATAAACAAGAATAAGAAGTCATACTAACATGTTATAGGTTATTAACATCACCTGTAGTTCCTACCTATCCTTTCTAATATGAAGTCATAGTATATCTGACCGTCAATTCATATTAAAAGGAAACTGCTGCAACAAATACTGCGAGAAATTCTAGATATATGACAGAGTAACTTCTTAAGTCAGTGGCTGCTACATATGCTGCAGTAAATCCCAGACATTTGGGCCTGTAGGTCTCCCAACATAGAGTATATGGAAAAAAATCAGAAAATTAATCCAGCACAAGCTGTGAAATAAAGGAATTGGTCTTTTTGTCACATTTCAGACTGCTCTAAAAGTTTGAGCTATTGCATGTCAGCCAGTTGATAGACTTCTCTAGAACATAGCTAGAGGATGCTACACCACCAACCTGTTGTGGCACTGAGCCGATGTCAGTCCCAGACATCAGCAGGATGAAGGCGCTGGTGTTGACTGGATATTATCCCACGATCATTATGCCATCGGACACAAAATGCCGGATCGATATCCTGGAGCTGTGCCTCGGACGTAGCAACCACATATTCTATTGACATCTTCCCTCGCTGTCCAGCGGATGATTGATGAGAAAGTGCCTAGGTGCCTGAATCAATCAAAATGATCGGACTATGACAGCGAAAAAATTTTGTCTGTCACAAAGTCCACACTCTTCTCTTCCCCCCATCTTTCCCCCCATCCTTCCCCTCGGCCTCACCCCATGCGCTCTGCCTCAGCGCTGTCTCTGGCACTGGAGTTAGGTTGCCTGCCATAGTATGTTGTTTCTGCCACCCCCCGCTTGCTGTCTCCCATTACTAACTATTGTTTGCAGCACTATCCTTGTTGTTGGGCAGCATTCACTGCCTGGGCCTGGTAAGCATACTCCACTCTTGGCGTTGACCTGCTCGCTGACTGAGCCATCGTCTAGGAAGTCACCTGGTTGTCAGCAGAACTAGCTGCAAAGCGCTCAGCCGCCACTGCTGGCAGTGACAATGGAAACGGGAGTCTTGGCTTGGAGGCGTCCCGGACTTGGCGGCGTCCCGAACTTGGCACTGAGCCCTTTCTCGTTTGCCAGCGGATTGCCTATACCACTCTCCGGCCCCCACCCGACTACTTTCTGGCATATAGGGTGGGAGCGGGGAGTGTGCCATCGGCTATAGAGTGTACCCTCGGCCATGAGGTGTGGTGAAGACGGCAGAGGGGTGATGTCAAGAAGATATGCTCATTCAATTTTATTTTGACATCACGCAAATCAAGTGCCAATGTCATGGCGGGTTGGTGGTGTAGGCCATTATCTGTGCAATAAGTGTAGCATAGTATTTATAACTCTTGCTTGTCTTACTTATCTGTACGTACATACCTGATATGGTAACTGACCGTAAGATTCATATCTAAGGCAATCTTGGACCAAAGCATCTCAGAATTGACAGGTATATATATCCTCGACCCTAATCTGCATTGGTCTTCCAAGTTTTAAATGCGAGAGGCTCTGACTGAGCTCGCAGTGGCTATCCCTGCGGAGTGTCTTGCCTTCCAGTTTAAGCTTAAATAGCCATGATGTGATATTTCCCCACTGGAGGCTCAATATCAAGCTTAATATGGCCTATATCTTGAAGGCTGGAGGTGTTTATATAGATCCATATAGATCCATAAAAATTGCAAGAGTTAACACAAAGTTTGCATTTTTATACTATTACATGATGCATAATCTTATCTGAAGCATCTTATTATGGGGACATATTACCAAATATGGTAGGCAGGTGTAGGGCCTGACAGTAAAATTTCTAACATATATTCAGGAACTGAAAGTTGAACCCCCCTTGACAACATGACATGCACACCTGTGCTGGCACAAATACCTTTTTTTTAAAATACCCTGTAAGGGCAACCCTGGAGACTCTGACGAAAGCCTAGCAGGGAAGGATCTAAAGAGTGAATAAAGGTAGAGGAAATACATGGAGGGACCGACCTAGCAGGGGAGGATTCAAAGAGAAGAAACTCCAAGGGTCCACCTGCTAGGGCGCCAACTATATACTGGCTGTCCGTAACTGCCGACGTAGAGCGCAGAAGGCCTGAGGGGTGTCACAGGCTCTGTCCCAAGGTGATCGTTGGGAGGGTCTTGACGGATCGGTGATTGTGCAGGCAAAGGAGGCTGAGGACGAGGGTTGGGGTGCGTTGGAGCATCCGAGGGGGCGCCGGTCAGATGCACCTTGGATGTGCTCGGACGGTCCGAAGGAGGCCGAAGCCGGGGGTTCCCCTGACAGAGAACCCGTAAACCTATGTCTTGCGGCTGTAAGGGCAACCCCGGAGGCCTGAGATCAAGGTCCTAGCAGGGGAGGATCCAAAGGCGTGAACATTGGTAAGCGAATACAAATGAAGCTGACCTAGCAGGGGAGGATCCAAAGAGAAGAAACTCTAAGGGTCCGCCTGCTAGGTAGCTGACTATATACTGCTTGTCCGTAGCTGCCACTGTCGGGCACAGAAGGCTTGGGCGGCGTCGCAGGCGAGGTCCCAGGGCGACCGTCGGGAGGGCGTTGACGGATCGGTGATTGTGCGGGCGAGATGGAGGGCCGGACCGGAGTCGGAACCGGAGTCGGACCGGAATCGGGCGCGTCTCCGGGCCGAAAGGGAGGTTCCCCTGACAGCGGCTCAGCAGTAGTATCCTCCGGTACGGTTTACCAGCCGCAACAGTTGGGCAAATGGGAACAAGATACTAACCACACTACTGTCCTATTTCGATCAAGTGTCCGCCACTTTTTCAAAATTTGGGACCAAGAAATTTTCTTTGGATTTATGGTGATTTTTGGCGGGGACTTTTTTGGCCAGTGTAACGCGTAACACGGACACTTGACCGAAATAGGACAGTATAAACTTGCGACGACTCATACCTACATCATCCCGCTCTCTGTCCTTGTTGATTCCCGGGTTCCCCTCCCAGCCAACTTTCGAATTGTCGCTTTACCCATATCACTACATTGACCCATCACATCTTCCATCACATCAAAACCAGTTCCCTCGCACCCTGCTGCTTTCTCATCGTGCTTGTTTGTCCACTTGATCCTACTTATGTATGCGCGAAGTCACCGGGTCGGGGTTGGTCTGAGTGTCCAAGGGGGCACCAGTCGGATGCGCTCGGACGGTCCGAAGGAGGTCGAAGCGGGGTTCCCCTGACATCACCCCTTCTAAAAGCCCTCCCAAGAAACGGAGAAACCAATTCCAAAATTAATTATGATTTTCTATTTATTCTTTAGTGAAACTGGCCAGCTTGTAACTGACTCCGCCTGGTGACAGTGCGCAAAATTTGGTGAGCATAAACCACTTTGTTTTAAGGATATATATTATCCTGTGAACTTGAACTTCCACTGCCATCATGATATCTGAGTATTACTATGCTATCCGGACTTTTTTTAATGAATTATTGTTAGAGTTACAGCATGAACAATCAAGTTGATTGCATGCTAGTACTCTCCTAATCAGCAATCCTGAGAAACGCTACCTCCTGCTCCTGTGCACATGTGTTACCACTAAATTCTCTTGGCCAACATTGAAACATACCTCAGAATCTGCCACGACAATCCAGCGCTCGTCCATCACCACGGTGTCGTACGTGGCCCCGTTGTCGTTGTTGACCCAGAAGAACACCCCGTCCGTGTCCGCCTCTTCGCCCTCGGCGAGCACCCGGGCCTCGTCGGGGAGGGGGCTCCGGCGCGGGCGCAGCGGCCGGCGGACCTCGCGGACCGGCAGCGCCGTGTGCAGTGCGCGGGCAAACACGCCGGCGGCTACTGTGCGCTCCTCACGTCGTCCGGCGGCGCGCACGGTCGCGATGATGGGCGGCTGGCACCACGTGCCGTCTGTGTGCAGCACGTCGCATTCGCGCTCGAGCACACTGTCGGGCTCCGCAACCGCGACGATCTCGCCGAGCGCGGCCAGCGGCGCTGCCGGATCAATCTCGGGTGCACCGCCGTGATCCGTGGACCGCGGCACATTGAAGTCGAGCATGCGCACGAGGCGGTCGGTGGTGCTGCAAGCGAGGATCCGCTCGCCATGAACATGTCTGCAGACATCAGCGCCCCATTTTCAACCCGAAGAGCCGGTCCACGCACCGCCACCAGAAGAGCGCATTCTCCTGCGACACGCGTGTCTCTGCGGGGCCCCAGTCGGCCCATTGCAGCTCCTGCTCGCGTCGGCCCGGGTCCGCCCGCCACGCGGTGACAAGCCGCGACACTGTGCGTATATGGAACACCAGCCACACCCAGCCGCCGGGGACATACTGCACCCCGAGGGACACCACGCGCCGGTCGTTTGCCTGGAAGAACGGCGCATCCGCGGGCGGGCGGGCCGTGTACGGGCCGGCCAGAATAGTTCCTTCTGCAATGTGTATGTGGTCCGTGCTCAGCGGCGGGAGGTGCAGCGTCGCAACGCATGCCGGGGCGGATACGCCAGGCTCGAGAACATCAGGGAGCATGTAGACCTTGACAGCCCCGCTGGCCGGGCCGTGGACAAGGAGAACGAGGCGTGGAGCAAGCATATAGCAGTCAAGCACCTCCATTGGCGCAAAGTCCCAGTCCAGAACGCAGTTTCCTCCGCGCCAGTCGAAGAGCAGAAGGCGCGCGCCAGTGGACAGCGCGACAACATCGTCGACAGTTGTGAGCCCCAGCTGATCCATCTCGTCCCTCGTACACGCAAACTCTATCTCTGCTGCCACCGCCTCCGGGTGGACAAGCGTGGGCTGTGCAAGCGAGCGGACGGCGAGTGTCCCCTTCTGAAAGTCGGCGTCGCTGTGGAGGACGGCGAGCAGGTCGCTCCCGGCGTCCATCGTGAAATGCCGGATGTCCTTCCCGGGCAAGTGCACCGACCCAGTCCACACCGCCGTGCTGTCGTCCGCATAAACGTACGGCACGTGCTTTAGCCCCGCGAGGGCCACGACCAGCATCCGCCCGCCCATCGCCTCGCTTTCCTGCAGCGCGAACACGCCCTGGGCCATCTCCGACGCGCGGCTCTCGTATGGCCGCTCTGTGCTGAGCAAGTGTGCCTGTGAGTACCGCAGCGCCGCCCGTGCCTCCCACCCGGGCGATGCGCTCGTGCGGCAGCAGCCCCTGTGGATTGCCCTCCAACAACCCATCCTCCCACAGCTCCAGCATGTATTGCAGCACCGGGTCTCCGTCGATGGTGTTGCGCCATATCCGGCATACCTACATACAAGTCAGCTGAGAACAAGCGAGAACTTAGACAGCGCACACTGCGAAACGCTGCCAACTGGCCTGGATGCACGTGTCGCAACGCGCGGGCGAGTATCTCGGGCGGGATGTCGTTGAAGCTCATCTCGGTGATCGTGCAAGTCAGAAAGAAAGAGTTTATGGATCGATTGATCGGATCGGATTGATCCCAGTGAGTCAGTGACTCGTACTAAGTATCACCTTCACCTTGCTTTGCAAGGTCCCCCACCCTGACAATTCCCATCACCATCAAATATGCTGTTTCCAAATAGTACCAAACAATGACATCATGATCACATCAATACTGAATAACTGCTTAAGCACCCTTTCTTCTTCTTATGCTCCAGGCAATGTTCACCGCTCAATTCTCTAAAATACCCATCCCATACCAGTGCTAAATAAATGACTGAAATTATATTCCTTTAGTACCAGTAAAGCAGAAAACCTTCTACTTATTGCAATTGGTCCAGTAAGCACCCACCACTTGATGTCCATGTTCTTTGAGCAATATTAAGTACCCAGAGTACCAAAGCAAGGTCTTTAGGCGCCGCGCAGCATGCACCCCCTAGTTGCAAGGTCCCCCACCCTGACAATTCCCATCAAAACTGCTGTTTCCAAATAGTACCAAATAAATGATGTCACCTCTTCTTGCAACACTGAGTACTACTTAAGCACCCTTCCTTCTTATGTCTATAGCAATGTCCCACTATCAATTCCGATCTGAAATACCATACCACACTAAAATAAATTATATTCCTTTCAAGGTAGAAAACCTTCTGTTGGTCCTGTGAACACCACCACTCTATATCTATGTTCATAATGTTCTACAGCGGCACTATACGAGGAGCGAGCACTATACAGCACCAAAGCAAGGTCTTTGGGTGTCGCGCAGCATGCACCCCCTAGTACACTAGTAAGGTCCTAAGACTGGTAGTTTGTCATGTCACCTAAGACTGGTAGTTTGTCATGTCACGTTACCTGTGAAAAACAAATAGATGCAAACAAGGAGTCATACAAATTTGTGTAAATGAGGAGATGAGTTCGAGCCTTGGTCTGACACATATTATTCTATCAGTTTATCAAATATAAGTAGATTGTAAAGATGGAAAGATAAGGAAAAATCTTAGTATGTAACCATAAAGATGAGCTTCTAACCTTGACCTTCCATATTCCGATCATGAGTATGTACTAAGTCTTCAATGGCTTGAGATTGGATAGACATAATGATATACACACCGGGGTTTCAGCCAAAAAATGGTCCCCTAAGCAGAAATTATATATGAGAAATACTGTAGTATCTTAATCAATTCGGCGCCCAAAAAGTGTGTGACATCGGCGCCGAATGGAAATTTTCGGCGTCCGAGGCCTCCGAGTGTGACCGCCGAAAATTTTCAGCATATTACAGCGCAGCCCGCAGGGCCGCACCAGCCAAAAATGGTTAGTTTACCGGGTGAATTCGGCGTTTGTGACCACCGAAAAAATTTCGGCGTTTTAACGGCGGTGTGACGCGTGACCGCCGAATTGATTGAAATGCTACAGTAGTGGTCCAAAACAATAGGTGACTTCCCATAAGGGAAAAGAAATTAGATGCAATTTCTGAGTGCCAATCTGTCACTTTTTTAGCTAGAAATTTATGTTTGAAGACTGTGGCTTCCTGTAAGAATAAAGAATTTAGATGTGACGAGATCATTACATCATCCAATGCAATTATAGCTCTTTTAAGTTTTGACCAATATAGTTCAGAAAAGGGGAGTGAGGCCGAGGGATTATTAGAATTGGAGACAGCATAGTTGTGTACTTGTGGCTGCTGGGATGCACTAAGTACCCATGTTGCTGGTGCAGCTCGTCATTGAGCAAGATGTCGCAGTGTGACACTCCGTGACAGTGATCGCAGTTGTCCCAAAATGGTAAGTTTTCATGATGGAGGCAAGAAAACAGTTTATTCAGGGGTCCTGACCCTCTGAATAAATCTAAGCACTTTTGAGGTTTATTAGAGAGCCAAATGGGGATTTCAGTCTGATGGGGTCCTGTGGCAAAGAGGTTTATTCATACAAAATTCATTAAATTTCCCTTACGGGAAGTCACCCAATAGCCTTTTTTGCACCTTGGTGCTGTCCCTGATTTTTGATATATATGGTCTTATATCTTGGGGCATATTTGGTGCATTTATTTGCTACAAATTGTAGCCACAAAATTGTCAGCTGATATTGACCTTAGGGATGGGCACGGATAAATCCGTGGATACCAGACCCCCCTACCCATATCCGTATCCACACAGCCATCTATTCGCAATCCGCGGATACGGATAAGGATAATCCGGCCGATCGGGCCTATCTGGCATCATATGTCGGGCTTTATCAATGCAAACTAGCTCAGTTATTCTGTTTCCAACTTTCTACATTCTGTTTGGCTGCTGGCACAGAGGTCGGCGGTTCAATTTGGACCCATGGATACTCTTTGTCACCATAAAGTCCTATCCATATCCGTATCCGTCCGGAAACAATCCGTGTATCCGTCTGGATTGGCCCAATCCGTGCCCATCCTTGACCTTGAGTTAAGTCCAAGCTGATAACTTAATATATGCCCCAATTTCTTACAAAGCAAGTCTACTTCCCTGGAGTTTTATTGGTTATCTTTCAAAGTAATTAAAACATACCTCTTTTTTGTCTACTACTTATCACAAATAAATCCTACTTTGGGGCCCATTTTTGGGCAGAAACCCCAGTGTGATAGCAATTAAATGGGTCACCAACACCTGTCACACGTGTGAATATCAGCTTCTCGCCAGCTGTCATCCAATTAGTGGTGTATATATAAGTACGTACTCTTATAAATTTCCTGGCTGATGTGATTCAGACTTCTCTGTCATGAACAAGACCTAGCCTGTCCTAGGCCATTGAGGGCTTGGGATATGCAGTACATGATGATGGGAATATGTGTCTCACAAAGGGATGGAATGAACATGTGAAAAGCACATGACTGAGCATGACATGTCAGGCCCAACGGAATTGAGAAGTAGTGCTGGGAGGTGTAAGGGCAAACCTGGAGGCCTGAGATCAAGGTCTAGCAGGGAAGGATCCAAAGTCATTGGTAAGCAAATACAAATACTGTAGTATTTTACTCAGTTCGAATGTCACGCGTCACACTGCCGATTTTATACAAATTTTTTTCGCATGTCACGCAGATTTAAGCAAAAAGACGTCCCAAAAGGGTAATTTTTGACATTTCCGGGCGCCTCCGGCGCCAACAGTTGCCTAATTAGGCAATAATTCGAATTGAAATTTTCGTATTGAATGTCACGCTAAAAATGGCATTCGAATTGAGTTAAATAGTACAGTAAAGCTGACCTAGCAGGGGATGATTCAAAGAGAAGAAACTCTAAGGGTCCACCTGCTAGATAGCTGACTATATACTGCTTGTCTGTAGCTGCTGCTGTCAAGCATAGAAGGCCTGGGCGGCGTTACAGGTAAGGTCCCAGGGCAACCATCAGGAGGGCATTGACGGATTGGTGATTGTGTGGGCAAGATGGAGGGCCGCACTGGAGTTAACACTATGGGGCTAATCTAGGTTGGAATACCACCCCCTTTAGGAGGTATTTCCCACTTCAACCTAATTTAGGTGGCTCTTAGGTGACTGGTAAAGACAACATTTCTGTAAGATTTAAATCATTTATTTTTTCAACCTAACAGATAGGTGGTTTTTGAAAAAAAAAATTATGATAAGTTACTTACAACCTAGATAGGTTGAAAATTCACCTATTTAGGTTGAATAGATTATACAAGCATAGACACCATTTTGTTGAATTTCATACCAAGTCTTTTTCTACCTACTGAGTAGGTTGTTTTCCCCATGTAGAGGTTTAGCACATTGATGCAAAAACAACCTGTTAGATCAAATTTCAACCTATCCAGAGCATAATGTCAGTGAATATTGATACACACTTTATTACAGAGCTTATCATACTGTAAGCACCAAATCTATATATTGTAGTCCCAAAGTCACTCCTCAATGACAGAGGCCTTATGTCAAGTTATAATGTTTGGTCTCAATATCAATATCAGAGCTATAGTTTTGGCTACTATCTCTTAGTCTAGTGGTTATAAAGTAGTTTAGATAAAATGCTATTGTGGCTGGTTCAAACCCCCTATATGCACATTTATTAAATATTTAAGTATAAAAATGTTAGCTGTTCTTTGAGTTCAGAATGTCTAATGTTCTCTATTAGAGCAAGTAATGGAGTACTATATGGTTGTAACTCGATACTTTCTTTTCCTTTATAATATTTGAAATCAACCTAAGTAACAACCTATTCCTCCCTATGTAGGGCTTAGGTTAGATTCGGCCGATTTAGGTAAGTTTTCCACCCTTAGTTTAGGTTGATTTCTCACCCTACAAAGCAACCTAACTAGGTTGAAATATAACCTATCCTAGGTGGGGTTACTACCTAAGATAGGTGGTTGCATAGGTTATAAAAGCACCTGCTGAGCCCCCATAGAGGTTGGAACTGGAATCGGAATCGTCTCCGAGGGGTCGAAAGGGAGGTTCCTCTGACAGGAGGTTGGGTATAGCACCTGGACTGTAAGAGATGTACAACCATCTCTGTCATGGCCAGGGACAGGGATGGCCTAGGGGAGTGCTAGAAGAGTTAGGGTATCTCATTACCCCTCAGCAGGGCCACATATATAAGATGCAATAGTTTACCCAGTAATCTATCACTCAGATTGTTTACTGTACTGCTTCTCTTTATGCAAGGATGCATTGGGCCTGATAACCTGATGTAACTTAGCAGCTAGACAGACTACAGGGACTGTCTTACCAGGCCTACACAACTTAACTCAACTCTGCCCACTTCACTCACAGGCCTAATAATTTAAGGGTACACAAGAATGGTGGGACTCTATCTATCAAAGTGGGACTCAGAGCCAGTCACCCTGATTGTCTTCAATAGCCTCTGATATACATAAGATCAATGGTGGGTCGAGGATGCCGTGTCTCGCCATGAGTGCGGCGTCAAGTACGCGCCAGGCCGGTGGAGGCACGCGGACCTCTCCGACATGATTCGAGGATAGCACCGTCAGTTCCAACTCGACAAGTGCCGGCGTTGTAGCGGGCTGCAGGACTGCGACGAGGAATTCGACGAGCCGAAGGCTGGCTTCGTCGGCTCCGGTGAATCTTGGAAATTCAAGTCGGAGATGGAGCGCGCAGAGATTCGGGAAGGGCCTGAGCAGGGTGGCCGCGGTTGGTACATAGAGGTCTGGAAGCATATGCCATCACATTCAACTCGAAGTCATCTGAAGAATTGATAGCTTACAGTAGCATACGAGGTGCAAGTTCTCCACGCGCTTTGCACTCAATGCGAGGTACACGTTGAGTTCGGCGTCGCTGTCCACGGAAGAGAGTGTGAAATCGCGCATATCCCACAAGGAGTGGGTCGCCGACGGAACGATATGAAAGAGCTTGTAGCAGTCGTAGACCTCTAGCTTCTGGAGTGCGCAGGTGCTGATAATCGAGGCAATGTTGTCGTTGTCCCTATCCCTGTCATCCTGCACAAGTTCTTCGACTTCTCTCAGATCATGTACTGCATCCAGCTTGAGCGCCAATGCCGCATTGAGCAGACGGTACAGAATTCTCCTCGTCGGGTTACCGAGAGCCAGGACTTCCAGTCGCTTCAGCACTCCGTGGCTCTCGAACACATCCAAGAGAAGATCCAGCGCGACCAACGAGTACGGGCGTGTCTGCCCGCTGAAGATTTGGACGCGACGCAGACCCGTAATGTGCAGCGCATTCAGCACTGCTTGGATTTTGCCTCTCTCCTCCGCCCATTGCTCCTGATCTGCGTTCGGCAGCTCGAGGCTGATATCCACAACGTGTTTCGCCAAGTACGGCGCGCGGTCGAATAAGGTCGCAGCGTCTCCATATGAAGGGCCTGCCGTGTCGCTTCCGCGCGCCATCATCGATAAAGTCGTAGAGCCAAGCCTCAGTCGCGCGAACAGTCGCCGTTGGCATAGCACGCGGAAGAGAGACGCGGCGAGGGCACAGGAGTGTAGCGCGTTGGGGGGGATGAGCTCTACAATGGCATCAATGAGCTCGACGGGGAGCTGTGACATTTCCAGAGGTAGATTGCAGGGAGGAAAAACAGAACGGGTGGGTTACTGTGACAATACTTTCTGCATTTAAGTCGGAACGCAGGTTGAAATAGCCGACATACGCCGGAAGGGAACACAACATCCAGGCAGCCATCACTTCTTGCCCCATAGATACGGTCTATTTCGTTCTTGAACGGATAGTATAAGCAAAACTGATAAACTTGAAGTAGTGAACGATATACATCAGTTCAATGAAATCTCCTCCGTATCCCCGAGCTCGTCTTCGCTCGCACTTCTGACTCCGGCTCCAGAGCTCTGCAACGACGTTTTACTACCCTCCTTCCCTACCGGCGGCGGTGGCGGCACCTCGGGCGTCATGCTCGACGTTGTCGGCGTGTCTGGCGGAAACTTAAACTCCCGATTCATCGTGCCCGACCGCCCATGGCTCATCCGCTTGTCCAGCTTGCTGGTCGGCGCAACAACAGCGACGTCTTCTGTATCGGAATCGGAATCCGGCTCTGTGGGTGCTGGAACGACTGGCGGAGGCGGTGTTTCTGAGATAGCTGGTGGTGGCTGGTTAACGAATGCGGATGCTTCGCGTCTCCCTTCATGGTCTCGGGCAAGAGGAGGCATCGATTGCCGGACATCGGCTCGAGGACGAGGACTGGTAGGGGAACGAGGAAGGGAGGCTTGTGACATGGATTGTGGACGGGGAGCAGGCGTAGGTGGTGTCGCACCAAGGCCGTACTGCGCAATAGACACTAATCTAAGCAGAAGAGTCAATTGAAGTCGAATTAAGATCGCAAATACGTACTTCCTTTGCGTGTGACAGGCAAATATCCAATGGGCTTGGACGACGGGAATGCTGAGTTGCATCGCTTGCTGGTACTCGGCGGTGGGCACCCCAGGTGACTGGATATCTCCCGGTTGCGCGCAAACGAAATGAGTCGTGTCAATTGAAATTTTGTCGCTCCATTTGGCCTTCATCTCCCTCAATGCCATCTTCGCATTTTCTAGCATGACCTCGTCTTTCATAGTCCCGAAACACACTGATATTCCAGATGTATCGGTCATAGTATGAGTTCTGACGCGAACGACGTTGGAAGGGAAAGTCCCAGCAGTCGTGCGAAGGATGAGCTGGAAGGTGTATTCTGTGTTAAGCTCCAGGCCGGATAGTTTTGTGGAGGTATTGGTGAGTGGGGACGGTATTGGCGCTAGGCGCTGGCCATTGCGGTAAATGTCGAGAGAACGTAGTTTGGCCGTGGCAAGCTCGAGAGAGGGCCATTCAAGAGTGATGGAGGTTTGGGTCGCATGTCGAAGCTGCGGAGGCGTTAGTGTCTATTCAGCCAGAGCAGCAGGTTATAACGCACTTGAAGCACCGGTGGATTAGGCGACCGCACCCCAAACTCCTGTAGAATGAGGTCTTGCAGCGCCCAAAATTCTGAATCCCGCCTTTTCTCCTCTGCGTGGTTCTGGTGGACCGCGATATTAACAATGGATCCAGTTGTGGCTCCCGGAGGGAGTAGGACCGAGGGAAACTCGATTAAATGAGCCCGTTCCCCAAGAAGGATCTGTGTGGTGTCGAGTTTGCGACTGTTGACACGGTGGTAGGGAGGCTTACCGCCATGCCAGCATCTGTGAGGGTGCAGTACATAAGAAGCCGGTCCATGAGCGGGTTTCAGACGGACCAAGCTTTCCAACGGTGAACGTGAAGTGGTCTTGTGAATGGTCCATCGTGGTTGTGGTCAAGCGTCAAGACGCGTCGTCACATCGTGACTCTTATCGCTTGCTTCCACGAAAACGTCGTTCGGTGCTTCCTCCAGAGGTCTCTACTGGCTACCCGGTAGTAGTAGCCGGTACAGCAGACAATCCGCATTTTCAAAATCCTCTCTCGGGTCTCTGTACTTAACGTCACTCATCACCAAAAGTTTGAAACGACTTCTGCTCGAATGCCCTGGGGAACTGAACTCGCACTCAACATTCCACTTGCGCCCCTAGTCCGAGATTGCAATTCAATGCCACGCATGACGCTCTGCTGCCTGACGCGAGTCTTGTCAACTAATCCATTCCCTTCGACGAGCGGCTTTCACCGCCAGTGTTATCTGGAAAACGTGAGCCCTGCGACTGCGCGTTTTCTCCCCATCCCGATATGAATCCATTGTCACTCATATAATGACTTGCAGGACAAGTCCAGACCGCCAGTAACGATTCAGAGGAGGGTTCAGCCAAACCGCGCGCAGAGAAATAAGTAACACCACAACTGAAAGTGGACTGTCGCCGACTGTGGTTCATGGCTGGACTTTCGAATAATTTGTGTGTCATGATTACAAGCTTGTCTCCTGTTAAACTGCGTATCTAGTTCGGGATTCCTTCCTCTTCATCCAAGACGCTCCTAAACCTGGCCAATCATCATCGAAAGGGATCGAATTATCCGGAAAATGTATACAAAATGAATGCAAATACAAGAAAGTCCGTCAAAATGAGCGACAACAGCGAAAAAAAACAAGGTCTACGAGTGGGTAAGCAGCCGCTGACGCTCTGGAGCTTCCGCGTCTGAATCAGCGGACGCCTGGGACTCCGCCGATGGGGATCGCGCGTGTATTGGGGGCGGCATAGGCACTTCTTCGTACCGCGCCAGCGACGACTCCGTTATTGTGCCCAACAGCGGTCCAGCTACCCGTGTTTCGGGTACGTGAGGGTCATTCTCAGCATAAGACGGCGGGCGCAAATAGGGTGGCGGGGGTAGCGGCATCGACACCCGCCCGGGACGGTTGTTGATGCCGAGTAACTGGTCTCGCTCTGCGACCGCGACTTCTTGCCTGACGCGCTCCAGGTCTGCATGTGCCTTCTCCGCGTCGTATGGCGCCGTGCGAAGGTAGCTCCGCAAACAGCCGAAGAGACTGAGCAATGCCGCAGCGCCAGCGATGCAGATGAGGACCAGTGTTATCGTCGCGTAACGCGCGGTGGGGACATGTGGTCGGCGGTCGTCATCATGGTGGGATGGATGAGAGAATATTGCGGCCTCGCTGGGCATCCCTGGCTTGAGATCCTCCTTGATAGGCAAGGAACGGACCAGGCTACCCACTAGTCAATCAAGAGAAGACCATCGGAGCTTTGACAGACGCACCAGCAGAGGAAGCTCAAGTTAAACACACAAAGACACAAAACTCTCGAAAAGCTCGCCCGCATAACCAAAAAATTTGAAGGAAAGAAAAAGTGGGAGGATAAAGAAGGCGCAGAGAAACGACGGACGAAAAATGGCCGTGGTTACACAGAGCCCACTATAAATATGTGCGCGACAACGGTGCGTGGGAGACGCCATCGGATGGAAGCCTAGCTTATTGCAACAGAAGGTGGTCATGTCAGATTTTGACATGCCGCCAGCGTTGCCGGGTGTTAGGCGATGGGGTGACTCCACAGGCCAAGCGATCAGGACCCCAGTGATAGGAATCAGCCGTGCCCGGCGTCCCGGTCAGCAATGCTTCCAGTCCTCCCGGTGCAGAGGCTCCTGAGCCCGAGATGATAAGCATGCCGGTGCCACAACGCAGTCCCGGTGCATGCCTATGGCCCACCGCCGCACAATCGACGCGGCTCGGGCTCATCAATTGTTGTTCTGTTTGTCCGACATTTTTTCTTGTCACATCCCAGTCGGTCCGAGTTGGGCAGAATTTTGCATGGGGATAGATCCAGAGGGCAGGTAGCTACTCATCACTGGATTCACTGCTGAAACCCTTCATGCCAGTGCCAGTGTTGAATAATAACTTACTCCAGGCCGGGCCGTTGGCCTGCGGTTCAAGTTGTTCCGGATCTGAGTATCCCTCGAGCAGAATGTGAGCCTAAGAATGAGCTCTGTCAGTACTTCAGATTGGCAATTCCACAGAGAAAACTAAACATATTTCATATGACTACCTAGTCAATACCTAGTACTTACTAGTACTAGTACTTGCAAGTTATCCTACACGTGTAGGGTCGCGTTTGAGCAAGCCCACGTGCTCATTAGTTCTGTGCCGCTTTCGCTAGCACCGCCAGCACAATGCCAGTGCAGAAGACAAAAGTCGTCTTCATTTCATCCTGCACGGCGTCGTCGGCTCTTCCGAATCGATTTGTGCCACGGCCCGCCGCCGACTGGCAGTTACACCCTCGCCACTTACAGCCCCAGACTGCAGTCGCCATTTAAGCGCCGAGTCCTTCGTGGCCTAGTTGTGTTGCCCGTGTCGTTCACAGAGATTGAGTCTGAGCTTGCCGTTGTGCGCGCGCGCCAGTTGTTCCCAGCTTTAGCGTGTCGATAAACTTTGATATCCCAAAGCTCGAGCAGCCCGTGTTGCCTGCCTAGCCGTAACGTGTCGAAAGATCCAAGTCCGAGTCATTTCCGTCAGTTTAGGCCGCAACAGCTTCGTTGCAGCAACAGCCTAGGCCATGGACTTGAGAGCAGGTCTTCGTCACTGGTGAAGTGGCGCCAAGACGAGGAACGCGCCGCGATCCGCCCAATTGCGTAGATGGCGGTCCAGATCAGCAGGGTTGTCAAAGAGACAAGTCCGCTGGGAGTGCATTGTACTCGGGAGCTCTCCGGACTCGCGCCACTGCGCGTCAGCGCTCAGCATTTGACGATGTCATCGGATCCGCCGATGCAGTACTCTTGGTTGCAATTGCCAGCGCTGCTGGCGCCAGGTTGTAGCAGATGCAGTGCCAGCTCGGGCTTATGGCCCATGATACTTGCTTCAACTGAAGGTTCGGGGGCTTGCTGGGGTTCGTTGTGATCTGAACAAATAGTCAGCAGGGGTATGAGAAGACGAACAATACTCACCGATAAGTACGGCTCAGTGGCGCATGTGGACAAGCGGGTAGCAGTGCGCGGAGGTCGCCGGGACAAGCTACAGCGGCCCTTGGGCGGACCACCCGTTACTGTACCCTGTTACTGGCATCCGGGTGGGTATATGACGACAAGTCGCATGTTAACGCGCCGCGCAGAGTGGAGAGGCTGTCTGCTTGGCAAACTCGCCGTCCAGAAAAAGCCGACAGGATAAGCACCATACCAGTATGTGCCAGCAGCTGCATCATATAGTTGGCCGGAGGAGGCGAGACTTCAGTCAGCGCACCGGAGGCAGAGCGTCCTCGGGCACCTAGACCCGATTCTCGGACAGAAGGCGAGCGATATGACATATGATGAAGCCCGCTGCAGAATGTTGAAACGCAGAGTGAGTGGTTTGGTGTAGACATTACACGGAGCCAAAACGCGAAAGCGCGCTCTGGCCGCCATGGCAGGATGAGGCAGCCGTCGAGCGTAAGGCCTCGTCCAGGTTGTCCTTATCATGTTGGAGTGGAGCGCATAGATCGTGCTATGGCGGGCTTCCGCCGAATGTCGGCCTAGAATGAGGTCAACACGGCAGAGTGGAGAGGAAGAGAAGAGGCGCCACAGTGACGTGGCCGGTCACGTGATAGGCCGGCAAGATAGCCGAGGGTACTGTGGTTCCCCGTGACTGTGCAATCTCCCCCTGAGTGTGTAATCACGACTTCCTTCCATCCCTCGAGAATAAAAGCCTCCGGTATCGCCCGGAATGCATTGTTGTAACTATCTTACATCTATGTACACATTTGTTTCAGAAAATCTGCTGAGTATAAGCAACGAAAAACAATTACCGAGCCATCAAGGTATGTAATATTCTGATAACCTCGACTGTTTGGGAGCATCCTCGCTGCTCTTTGAGCCCAAAAAACAGTGTGAGATGTCAGGAGGACTCTTGCCTCAACCTCTGTGCGAAAATTTTGCTGGTCCGGGATGTAGTTGCGCCAAAATTGAGAATTATTGAAGATGGTAACACTTTGTCACATTTTGCCGCTGATCGCCTTGCTGGTCAATTGATCTTGCACTCGGCAGTCCAATGGCATTGGAATTCATGTACTAGTAGTATGTATCTATGAAATAATCTGACTCTAGTTGACTATGAGGGTAACTATCATACAATATGTACTGATAAGTATATATAAACATTAAGACGACGGCCACTGGTGGGTAGTTGGGTATGCGGCATCAAACTGCGTGGGATAACCCAAGTCGTAGGAGCCATAAATGGTATGGTAGTCAGCGGGAGTGTTGTAGTATGGAGTATGGTCATCCAATGGGATAAGGGAGTTCAGTTGCGCAGCGGAAAAAGGCTAAAATATACATGTGAAAAGTGTCAAGACCAAGAACCAAGTCCAAACTCACTGGTACGATGTTGCCAAATGATGGAGCAATTTGCGATGGCCCCGCAAGTTGCGATGGCCCCGCAATCACATTTGTCTCATCAGAAAGCAGTGCAGCAGCAGCACGCCGAGTACGAGCAGCAAACAGACCCGAGAACCGTGGGTTCTGTTTGTCTGTTTGGCCTTCAGGAGAGTCAAAATGGGCGCGGACAGCAGCAAGGATGGCGGGTTTGAGAGCTTTTTCGTCAATCTGGAGGTTAAGTGCACGAGCAATATCAAGTAAGTCGTCCTTGTTCTGACTGGATAGAGCACCTATAAAGGGTGTGTTGGCAGCGCGTCGAGCATCACGTTCCGTTTGCTTTGCTGCCTTTCGTTGGGCAGTATCTGCCTTCTGCTGTCGTTTAGCCTCCCGAGCGTCTTCCTCTTCCTGCGCTATTGCCCGCCCTTCTGCTGATGTGAGAACTCGAGCACTGCTCTTGATCCTGCGCCGTTTGTTCGGGCGAGCGGCTGTGTTGATTTTACGCTGGTAGGTGAATAGCTGATCCTCCAGCAGGCGCATATGCGACGTGAGCATCACAATCTGGGACTCCAGTGCATTGATCTGCTTGAAGAGACCTGGGTCGTAATAGAATTGCTGGACAGGTGTCGATGGGAGGGGAAAGGCAATAGAATCATTGGTTCCGCAGGTGGGCTCGGAAGACTCGGAAGGGGAAGATGCTGGGACTGTGCTTGATGATGAAGACGACTGAGACCGCGAATGGGCGGCAGTAGATGCACGAGTTGGGTAGGTAGGCATTGTCGTAGGTGGCGGAACAGATACAATTGATTCTGTATCAGACTCCTCGCTGTCCGAGTCAGAACTGTCATCATCATCACTCTCGGCCGCATCTCTATTAGCGATGGCTATGACTGACCATGCTGGACAAAACCCAATGATATCTTTCTGACAATTCCTGATGATAGACGTGAGCTGTCATTAGAGCAGGACTGTGATCATTGCTTGGTCACTGAACGGTTGAAGCCAACATCATCATTGCCCACATATTCTTATCCAGTCACCGCCTTACACTAGTAAGTGATGACGGTCATTGCTTTCACTTTATCATGATGATATGATGGTCTTGGGCAAATAGAGTATCATCCTAGCAGGTGATGACGGACATTGCGCATGCTTTGACTTTATATCATGATGGTCTCGGGCACTTACATGAGCAAACTGCAGTGGTACAAATATTCCCGAGATTTGCTTCTCCTCCTTCGTCCTATCGTCAAGAACTCGTACAGCAGAAGGGACTAAACGGACCAGAAGTTAAACTTACTGGACCCTGTGAGTAAGCAAAACACCTCCAAGGCTATCCTGGACCTCTAAACACATTTTAACTTGACGCTTGCGACCAGCTGTTCCGATTGGAAGCAAAACGATTCGACGATGTGAGCTTCACCTCCAACAGATCAATTCGGGAAGTTACAATCGGGCAGCCTATCTAATTAGCGAAACCCACCGCAAAACCATTGCCTTATGCGACCCCCGCTTCTGCTCATGCACACATGATTTCGCTTTCCATTCGCTCCATGAATGGTCCGCCTTAGCCAAATGCGATGCTTGACATTTCTTGAATTCAGCTTGCATGCACCTTTTCAGAATGTTTTGCAGCCTTCCCCGCTAAGCTAGCTGACCTATCGGCCTTCACGAGGGCCCTTCCACATGAAGATTTCGTGTGCAATGTTGTGCAATATGGTGTTATCGTCTTCATTGGCTGACTTGTCAACCTGTTGGAGCAACGAGAGCAAGTGTAGCAAAAACGATGTTAGCATTGGGAGGGAGAAGGTGCACTACCTCGTATCGCTTGGTGTCAAGTAAGTAGATGCAGTCCTGTAGCTAATCACTGACAGAGAGAGAGAGAGAGATTGGTGCGTGGCTTCAAGGTGAAAAGATGTTAAAGGGGGAGTCCAATGTGTTCGGAATCCCGACCTAGACTGAATCCCTGCCAGCTTTTGCGTATCGGGCATATGACTCAACGACTGGAAAAACTTGGAGTCAGGATGAGAAACGCCGAGAGAGCTCTGAGGACAGG